TGTGTCATTTAAGGCCAATGTTTCCTTATTGATCTTCTGTTTGGGTGATCTATCTATTGGTGTAAGTGGAATGTTAAAGTCCCCTACTATTATTGTGTTACTGTCTATTTCTCTTTTTATGTCTGTTAATAATTGCTTTATATATTTAGGTGCTCCTGCATTGAGTGCATAGATATTTATCAGTGTTATGTCCTCTTGTTGGATTGTTCCCTTGATCATTATGTAGTGCCCTTCTTTGTCTCTTTTTACAGTTTTTGTTTTAAAGTCTATTTTGTTTGGTATAAGTATTGCTACCTCAGCTTTCTTTACATTGCCATTAGCTTGGAGTATCTTTTTCCATCCCTTTACTTTCAGTTTGTGAGTGTCTTTAGGTCTGAAGTGTGTCTCTTGTAGTCAACATATATATGGGTCTTGTTTTTTTGTCCAGTAATTGGAGCATTTAGTCCATTAATGTTGAAAGTAGCTATTGATAAGTATGTACTTACTGCCATTTTTTTACTTTTTTTTCTCGGTGTTTTAATAATTCTTCTCTGCTCCTTTCTTCTTCACTTGCTCTCTTCCCTTGTGGTTTGATGGCTTTCTTTAGTATTATGTTTGGGTTCCTTTCTCTTAGTTTTTTTGTGTATTTATTATAGGTTTCTGGTTTGTGATTACCATGGTGTTCATATACAGTAACCTATGTACACAGCAATCTATATTAAGTTGATGGTCTCTTTAGTTTGACCTCTGTCTGAAAGCTCTACTCTTTAACTCCCCTCCTCCCATATTTTATGTTTTGGATATCATATCTAACCTCTTTTTTGTTCATTTGTATCTGTTACCCTCTTATCATGGAAATAGATAAGTTTTCCTATTTGTGGTCTTCTCTTTCCCCCTTAGGTAAGTCCCTTTTGCATTTCTTATAGAACTGGTTTCTTGGTGACAAACTCCTTTAATTTTTGCTTGTCTGAGAAACTTTTTATCTCTCCTTCCATTTTGAATGATAACCTTTCTGGGTAGAGTATTCTTGGCTGTAGGTTTTTCCTTTTAGCACTTTAAATATATCATGCCACTCTCTTCTAGCCTGTAGGGTTTCTGCTGAGAAGTCAGCTGATAGCCTTATGGGGTTTCCTTTGTATGTAACTTATTGTCTTTCTCTTGTGGCTTTTAGGATTCTCTCTTTATCTTTAATTCTGGACATTTTGATTATGATGTGTCTTGGTGTGGGTATCTTTGGGTTTATCTTGCTTGGTGCTCTCTGTGATTCCTGAACCTGGGTGTCTGTTTCCTTCCTTAGGTTAGCGAATTTTTCAGCTATTATTTCTTCAGATAGATTCTCTGCCCCTTTGTCTCACTCTTCTCCTTCCAGGACACCTATAACACGGATGTTAGTGTGCTTGATGTTGTCCCAGAAGTCCCTTAGACTGTCTTCGCTCTTTTTAATTCTTTTTTCTTTTATCTGTTCAGTTTGGGTGATTTCTTCTAGTCTTTCATCCAGCTCACAGATCCGTTCTTCTGTATCCTCTACCCTGCTTTTGAGTCCCTCTGGTGAATTTTTCATTTCCAGTATTGTAGTCTTCATTTCTGATTGGTTCTTATTTATATCTTACATTTCTTTGTTGAAATTCTCACTGAGTCCATCTGTTCTTCTCCCCAGATCAGTGAGCATCCTTAACACTCTTAGTTTGAACTCTCTGTCGGGTAGGTTGCTCATTTCTGTTTCATGTAGTTCCTTTTTCTGGGGTTTTGTCCTGTTCCCTTACTTGGAACATATTCTTTTGCCTCCTGATTTTGCCTCTTTGCCTGTGCTTGTGTCTAAGTATTAGGTAGGTCAGCTATGTCATCTGATCTTGGAGAGGTGACCTTATATAAGTGATGCCTTATGAGGCCCAGCAGTGTGCTTCCCTTTCGTCACCAGTTCCAAATGTTCCAGAAGTGATCCATCTGTGAGCTATGTGTGGCCTTCTGTTGTGGCAGGGTTGATCTTCCCATAGGTGCCCAGGGAGGCTGAGCTGTCCCCTGGCTGGTTGGTTGTAATGCTCAGCTGTGTGTAGTTGTTGTGGGCCCTTCAGTCTCTTTATCAGGTGTGGGGAGCCCCAGCACAGTTGGCTGCAAGGTCTAATAGCACATTCCTGCTGCAGTTTTTCTGTTAAGTGAGTAGGCTCCCAGTGTGGCTGGTTGTTAGGCTCAGGGGCATACAATTGCTATAAGCCTCCAGCCTATAAAGCTCTTAGCTCTCTGAGAATTGCAGCTGGGTGTGGCTGGCCTCAGGCATGGGAGCACCAAGATGTTTCAGGCTTTGGAAGGTAGGGCCAATCAGCTATGTGGGTTTTTGAGAAGCACAAGTCTCCTGCAGCTGACAAGCCCTGCCACCCTCAAGTCCACACACACATTCAATGCACTCCTGCCCCACGTGTGCATCTCAACTGCCTGAAGTGGACCCAGTCTCTCCAAGGCAGGAGCCCCACACACTCCACCAATGCCCCACGCTCTCCACCAGCTCCTTGTACATGCCCTGCCCCACATAGGTGGAGCCATTTGCCAGGCTGCGGAGAATCCAGTCATCAACCTATGCAGGCCCACAATTTGCCCAAGGACTTGCTGTTGGGTGGGGCCAGTCCCTGGCTGAGCTGGAGTAAATCGGTGCTCTAGTGGGTGGGGCAGACCCTGGGCTAGCAGGCCTCAGGGAGAACTCCAATGGCGTCTGTGTCAGCACGCCCACACCAGGCCACAACAATGGCTGGCACCAATGTCCCAGTCCCTGGACAGATGTCACCTCTCACTGAGATGCACTCAGAGACTATCAGGTGAGTCTCTTTTCACCAAAGGACTGTGCACCTTTCTTTCTGGTGATTTTAGGTTGCTTTCCAAGATGGGTGAATTTGTGTATGGGACCTTTAAGGGCCAGCTTTAATTTCCTTGTGACCCAGCTTTTCTGGGGGTACTCCCCAGTGTTGTTAGTACTGAGCAAAGTCAGATATTATGCCATTTGGCTCAGTTGTGCTGGGTCCAAAAAATGCCTATAGTGGGCATGCTCGCTGGCTCAGGTCCCCTACTCCGGTCCCCCACTCCTCCAGGGAAGGCTGCATACCTTGTGTTGCTCCCAGGCAGCCGTGAAGCGCCTGCGGCTTGTGAAGGCGGTGTTTTTTCTCTCCAGAAGGGAATTTATGCCTCTTCCACTTCAACTAGGATGGTCGTTTGTTGCAGGAGTTCCTCTTATCCAGTTTTCAGTTCTCTCGCAGGGGTACTTTTTCCAAGAGTAGTTGTAAATTGGCTGTGTCCAAGGGAGGAGATGAGTTCATAGTCTTCCTATGCCACCATCTTGACTTCTCTCCATAACCTGTGGAATCTGATGCTATCTCTAGGTAGATAGTGTCAGAATTGAGTTGGATTATAGAACATCCAACTGGTGTCTGAGAATTGCTTGGTGGTGTGGGAACCCACCCACACACACATTAGAATTGAGTGCAGAAACTGTTACAGCTGCAATCAGATGTACTTCTCATGCTCCAGTAGTATATAATGCCCTCCCATGACCCTCAGGTTTATAGCCTGCCTGGAAGAATCTACAATGAAGCTAGCACACATATGACTGGGTAGTGGGAGACAAACTCCCTAACTCACCTAGATTTCAGCCAAGCAGAGCCCCAGGGCATCCCCCATCTGAACTGTCCCATTCTCTTTCTGTTCCAGGTCTCAGTGTCCTGCTGGCTCTGTCAGGATCGGATGCAAAGAATTCTGGAGGTGAGTCTTCTCATTGCCAAGGACCTGGGCAATGGAAATTGGGACCTCGAACCTGCCTCCAGAGCCCTTTCCAAGGGAGAGAACACTAAGTCCCTGCTGCCTTCTGCCTACTCCTTGGAGCTCCCAAGGTCTATTCTCCCTTCTTCACTATCACCCCATTTCTTTATCTCTTGCATTGCACCAGGCACAGTGCTAACCAAATTGCACATGCCACCTCATTAAATCTTCATGACATTCCTGCAAAGAAGGTCCTGACATTATCCCCACTTGACCAATGGCCCTCTAGAGAAGTATCTGGCTCAAGGACACACAGCTGGTGGACGTTGGACTCTGTCATGTGTTTCCCAAAAAGCTGTGTCCCAAGTCATGCTGGAGATAGTTGTGCCTTTTCCCCATGTCTTGGGTTGGGTCCTCCCAGAAGCACACCCTGAGATAAGGACTTGAAAGCAAGTCATTTATCTGGGATTTGATCCCAGGAAGCACTAGCTGGGAGGGGGGAGTCAGATGGGGAGGTGAGTAGCCAATACAGGGTCCCTTATCAAGCAAGTTACATGTGAGTAACCAGAGCTTGATCCCCTGGAGACTGTCGGACATCAGAAGAAGCATGCACCTCAGAGTTATTCCCCACAACGGGTAAGGAAACAGTTTTCTTCTTATTGGTTTATTTTTAAATGGTGTTAAAAGATATATATATCATAAAATTTACTATTTTAACCATTTTTAAGAGTATAGTCAGTGGCGTGAAGTGCATTCACGTTGTTGTGCACCCATCATCACCAACATCCACAGAACATTTTTCCTCTTGCAAAACTGAAACTGTGTACCCATTAATCCATTATTCCTCATTCCCTCTCCCACCAACCCCTGAAAACTACCATTCTAATTTCTGTCTCTATGAATCTGACTACTCCAAGTACCTCATGTAAGTGGAATCACACAGTAGTTGTCCTTTTGTGATGGGCTTATTTACTTACCATAATGTCCTCCCGGTTCATCCATGTTGTAGCATGTGTTGGAATTTCCTTCCTTTTTAAAGCTCAATAATATTCCATTTATGGATGGACCACATTTTGTTTATCCATTCATCTACCAATGGACACTTGACTTGCTTCCACTTTTTGGCTATTGTGAATAGTGCTGCTGTGAACATGGGTATACAACTATCTCTTCAAGATCTTGCTCTCCCTCCTTTGGGATATATACCAGGAGTGGAATTGCTGGATCATATAGTAATTGTAATTTAAAAATTTTTTTAGGAATTGACACACAGTTTTCCACAACAGCTGCACCATTTTACTCTCCTACCAGCAGTGGATTAGGGTGACAATTTCTCTACATCCTACCAACACTTGTTACTCTCTATTTTTGATAATAAGGAAGCTGGGTTTTTTAATATACTGACTCTTACCAGTCATTGATTGAGGGAGCTGCTCCCGGGGGAAGAAGCCATTGCTAACCTCCCATGTGGTGAATAAAGAGGCCTCTGGTGGCCAGAGAAAGCCCTCAGTAAAGAAGCACACTGCTGACAGTTGGAAGTTCTGCCAGGCAAAAGTGGTTTTGGTGGCAGAGGTGGGATATGGGTGGAGAACTGTGAGCATCTGTGTTCAGCAGTGAGATGCGTGCAAAAATGATGTCAACAGAGCTCTTCCCAAGAAGACACTTCCAACCACAACATCTAGATGCTCAATGAATATTTCTTGAATGAATGAATGAAGCATATGAATGAATGGATCCTGTGCTCCCTGCAGCTTTCTGTCCTCAATGCCCTGAAAATGCCAGCTGCTACAACAGCACCCACTGTGCTTGTAATGATGGATTTCATTCCAAGTCTGGGTGGAGATACTTCATCAAGTCCTCTGAGGAATGTGAAGGTAGGGAAGCAATCCACACTCATTTTGGAGTTTGGAAGGTGTCAGGGGCATCTTTCTAATCCCCAAACATTGTGTTACATAGGGGTTCTGGTGCTGCAATGATGGAATAATATTACAAGATGAAAAATGTCAGGGCTGCTTCAATGTCCTTAGAGAAGTCCCTAGCCCTTGTCCCCCCTCTACTTTCATCCTAATGCTGGCTTGATGATCCCTGATACTGGTTTGGTTTTTCCTTAGAGGGAGATAGAGTTCCCAGGACCCTGGCTTCTTGAAGTCTCAAGCACTGGTGTTTTTTGTTTGTTTGTTTGTTTGTTTGAGAATTCCACAAGGGCAAGGGTCATATCTGATTTGTTTATTGTTGTATGCCTAGGACGGGGAACAATGTCGCATGGCAGATGCCAAATAAAAATGAGTTCACCAAGAGAACAAATGAATTAATTAATATCTTGACACTCAATATCTTCCATGATCTGGCTCCAGCTTAGTTTTCCAGTTTCACTTTTCACTACTCCCATGTCTTCCAGCCAAAATCCTTTCTCATTTCCACAAATTCTAACAGTCAATTTGAATACTAATGGGAAATAACCACTCCTGAATATCTGATTGGTGAAACTGGATATCTGATTGATGGAGTTGTCGTGTAAATTCACAAGGTGAAGCAAAAAACAGTAGACCATTTAGGATATATTTTATGTTATTGTGGAAAAACATACATAAGATACAATTTACCATTTTAACCATTTTTAGATGTATCTTTCAGTAGTATTAAATACATTCACGTTGTGCAACCATCACCACTATCAATATCACTGAACATTTTATATTAGAAGACCATGATTTATGTGATAATTATTTGTGAATTATCTGTTCATGTCTTATCCCTATTTTTCTACTGAGCTTTTGTTTCTTTGTCTCTCAATTTTTGAGTTCTTTACATATTAGAGATGTTAGTCCTTTGTCTACAGTATACGTTGCAAATATTTTCTCCCTGTTTGTCAATTGCCTTTGGACTTTGCTTATATATTTTTTAGCCATGCGATTAAACAAATTGTTTTTAATGTAGATAAGTTTATCAAGGGTCTTAAGTCATCACTAAAATGCCTTCCCCTACATTGAAATTAAAGAAGAATTTCTCTATGTTTAATTCTAGTAATTGTATGGTTCCACGTTTACATTTAGATCTCTGGTTCATGTAGTTTATTCTTGAGAATGGTGAGGTGCAGGTCTCATTATATCTTATTAAAAAATCCATCCTGGGCAGGAAGAAGGGCACTCTAGAGAAGGGAAACATGTGCAAAGGTGTAATGTGCATTTGTCATATTGTTTGAGAACATTCAGTTCTGCTGCAGAAGAAAAGTAAAAAAACAAATGAGACATGAAACTCATCAGATGTATTAAATGTAAACAGTAGGTAGAGCATGTGTGAGTTAAATGTAGATAGAAAGGAATGGAAAGGCCAATGTTAATATTCATGAAACAATAAATATACACGAGACACCTAGGTACTAAATATTCCTGGCAAATTAGGTATAGAAGAGGCATTTAATGCCCAAGATATACACTATTTACAAGATATACAAGAGCACTTAATGTTTTTGAGGTTTTAATTCAGTCACTCATGGTGATAACTATTCTGGCTCATATATCCTCTGCCCAAAACACCTAAACCCATAGCCCACATAAAACCTATATGTGTTAAGCAGACTAATAAGCAAGCTACAGCTATTGGACATGTGTACTTGTCTTGTGTCCTTCCAACAGAGAGAATAAGTGTGAGTCATCAGCTCAGGACACCTTCTGTCTGTGGCTTCCTTTGCTTGAACCTCAACTCTAGTCCACCAGTGGCCAAAGCTGATGTGGCCGGCAGAGGCAGAATATATGAACATTGCATAACCCAGGATATAAGTAGTGTGGTCCATTCATCTCCCTTGCACGCTTTCCTAAGATTATACAATCATGCATTGCATAACGATATTTCAGTTAATGACAGACCGCATATACGATGGGGGTGGCATAAGATTAGTACCATAGAGCCTAGGTGTGTAGTAGACTATACTATCTAGGTTTATGCAAGTACACTCTACGATGTTTGCACAATGACAAAATCATCTGACAACACATTTCTCAGAATGTATCCCCGTCGTTAAGTGATGCGTAACTGTGTTCATTTGTCCTACCTCTTTCCCTTTGCTACTGTGTGTTTTAAATTGATTTAATAAACTGTGTGATTCAAGCATTTAAAACCTCCATCCTTACTTCAGTGATCTGACATACCACCGTTATCATATTCTAAAGCTCCATATGTACTTGGGTCTATCTCTGGACTTTTAGTCTATTCCATTAGTCTATTTATCTATTCATGCACCAGCACTTCACTCTTTTATTGAGGCTTTATAGTATGTTTTCATGTCTGGAAAAGCTAGTTCCCGCCTTGTAGTTTTTCTGGATATTCTTGCATGATGGTATCAACTTGTCTCACTTCATAACATATGTGTGGATATTTTTATTGGCGTTGTATTGGATTTATAAGTTAATTTAAGGAGAACTATCATCCTTATAATGTTGATACATCTTATCCAAGAACAGGAGGTGTTGTTTGGGGTACATTTATGAACAATGTTGGGTAGTAGAGATTGCACAGGCAAGGGAAAATGGTTTAGTTCTATGAGAACAAAAAATGATATTTTCTCTTGATTCACAGATATTGATGAGTGTAAGACTGGACTGGCAAAGTGCAAGCAGATATCATACTGCATAAATATAATTGGAAGTTACTACTGCAGCTGTGTCCCAAATTACCCTATCTTCAACTGGTTGGCTGCTTTCACTAAATGGAATTATTCAGACTGTTATGGTAAGAACCTCCAAATACTCTTTCTACAATGAGGGGGAGCCTTTGAGAGTTCCACCAATTTCAGTCCAGAGTAAGATTTTAGAGATCTGTCCTGGTCCTTACCCTTCAATCCATTGTTTCCCTTTGTAATCTTCTCCCAGGAGATCTCATTCAGTCTCGTGGTATCAATCACCATCTCTATGTAGATGCCTTACAAATTTATATGTCCACCTGGATCTCTTTCCTGGGCTTCGAAAATGACATTTCTAATTTTCTACTGGACTTCTATACTTGTTCCTCTCTCATTCACTTTAAATTCAATTTCTATATCTATCTAATTATATTTGTCTATCTATCTATCTATCTATCTGTCTGTCTGTCTGTCTGTCTGTCTATATACTAAAACTCATGAGTTCATACTGATACCTCTGATTCCAATCCAACACCAGGGCTTGATCTAACCTTCCCTCCTTCCTTATTTGTAACTTCTTTCCCCAAAACTAAGAAACCCGGTTCTCACTATCCAATATACAGTATTTACTTATTTGCTCATCCCCAGTATAATTCCAGGTTTGGGGTTAGACAGATTGGATTTAATTTCTGGCTCTACCACTTACCACCTAACTTTTGAGTAATGATCTAACTTCTATATGCCTCATCTGTAGTTGGGAATAATAATAGTATCTACTGTACGGTTGTGTGTTGCTGCATAACAAATTATCCCAAATTTAGTGACATAAAACAATATATTTATTGTCTCACAGTCTATGTAGGCCAGGAATTGGGGCATGGCTTACCTGGGTCCCCTGCTTCAGGGCTTCTCACGACTATAATCAAAGTGTTGGCCAGAGCTGAAGTCTCATCTGAGGGCTCATCTGAGGGCAGATCTGCTTCCAAGCTCACTCACACAGCTGCTGGCAGGATTCAGTTCTTTGAAAGCTGTTGGACTTAAGGTCTCAGTTCCTCTCTTGTGGTTGATGAGAAGCTGCCTTCAGTTCTCAATATGTCAGCCTCTCTAGCTTGCTTTATTATAGCCAGCCCATGAGAATAGCTGGAAAGAGAGTTTGAACGAAACAGAAGACATAGTCCTCTGTAATCTAATCTCAGAAGTGACAAGTCAAGGGCAGGAGTTTACACAAGGGTGTGAATAAAGGGATGTGAGGTAGGGATCATTGAGAGTCATTTTAGAAACTTTCTTACCTCATATACTCATCCCTCTAAATTCATGTCCACTTATGGAACCTATGAATGTCATTGTATTTGGAAATAGGATCTTTGCAGATATAATTAAATCAAGATGAGGTCATACTAGATTATGATGGGCCCTAAAACCAAGATGACTAGTGTCCTCATAAGAAGAGGGAAATTTGGACATAGAGACACACACACAGAGGGACATGTAAAAACAGAAGTATAGATTGGAGTTATGCTGTCATAAACCAAGGAATATCAAAGATTGCTGGCAACTACCAGAAGCTAGAAGAAGAAAAGAAGGATCTTCCCTAGAGTCTTCAGAAAGACCACAGTCCTGCTGAAACCTTGATTTTGGACTTTTAGCCTCCAGAATCACGAGAGAATACATTTCTGTTGTTTTAAGGCACCCAGTTTGTGGTACTTTGTTACAGCAGCCCCAGGGAATGAATACACCTAACTGATGATGATTAAGGCAGGTAGACTATTTAGTGCAGTGCTAGGTACCTAGGAAGGCTCAATAAATATTAGCTATTATTCTTCATAACTCTGTTCTAGAATCTTCTGTGTCACTTTAAAAGAGATAGTATATATGAAGGCACTTTATAGATTGTGTAGGTATTATTACTGCTTATATATTATGAACTCAATTAACACCTATTCCTTCAGGAAGCCTTCTCTGCACCCCTGATGTGCGGGGTTGCTCTTCTTTATACTTCCAAGTCATATCATCCTATTTATTAAAACATGTTAGACCCTTGCAATCACTTAATTATTTGTCATTATTCACTTAGTGACTTTCCTGCAAGACTGCACAACCTGCAAGGGAATACCCCTTGTGTCTTTATCAACCTATATCCATAAGATTTAGCATTGTGACTGGCTTTTAGTAGATGCTCAATAAATACTATTGACTGAATTATTGAACTGGAGGCTCCATTCTAATTCCATTTTACATTTCTACTGTAGAAGACATTTGGGACTTCTTAGAGGGGTATTAGGATAGGATGTGAAAGCATCGAGGAAAGACCCAACTTAAGGGTGATTGGAAGAAGGGATGGGAGCCAGGGTACTTTACCTCCCCTACTCCATTTAACAGCTTCTTTTCTTTCTCAGAGAACTCCAGTAAGAAGACACCATCGGTGGACATGTGGGTGATTAAGGTGAAGCCTAGGTTTGAGAAACAGCCAGTTGGTCTTACCATGTCATTCTCCTGCTCAAATACTACTATGGTTCCCTATGACTTTTAGGATATAGCAGTTTTCACGCAGGAACGATTTTGTCCTCTGTCCAGGGGACATCTGGCAATGTCTGGGGATGTTTTTGGTTGTCACAACCAGAGTGCTAGTGACATCTAGTGGGTAGAGACCAGGGATGCTGCTAAACATCCTACAATGCCCAGGACAGCTTCCCACAACCATTACCTGGTCTCAATATCAACAGGGATTGAGAAGCCCTGGTAAAGGGTTTAAATGCCTCAGCTGTCATTCAAAGACGTGCAGGAAGCATCTAGAGCCTCATTCCACCCCTCTCATCGCTTCCCATTCCCTGTCTTCCTCCATGAGTCACTCTTCATAGGTTTCAGACATCTCATCCTTTAAGCCTTCATGTTCTCATAAATACCATGGAGATAATGATACACCCTTCACAGGGCTGTGTGTGATAAATGAGAAAACACATATCAGGTTGATAGCACAGAGTCAAGTAGTGCCTTCATAAATACCCACTGCCTTCTGGGCTCACCCAACCACACTTATGTATATTCCTGCTTTCTTAAGTTTCAGTAAGAATCTACCTAATTAGATTTACTTCTTTGAAAGGAAATTCTGAGGAAAAATGGAAGCAAAGAGTACATTGCAAAACAGGCTACCCGACTACTTCAAAGCATGGAATTAACCATATGGAATGGGAGTTTTGCTTCTCCAGGAAAGCATGAAAATTCTACGTTTGATGTGGGTAAGAAACACTGAACATTTTCCTTATGACCAAAAAATTTTATGAGGGTGATCTTTCATCAGACCATGTGTTTATATGTTTATATGGCATGGAGAGAGTTCACTCACGGGATTCTTTCCAAAAGCAGAAGATCTGCTCCCAGGTGCAAACAGTTTCCTTGGAAAACTTTTAAATGCTTAGCTTCTCCTACTTAAAAAATTAAGCTCCCCTCTTCATCAGGTACTCCAGTACACATTATTTAAAATTTTTTTGCCCTTTAGATATTCTATGGTATAGGCTAAGCTTGCCCACCCTAGTTCCACTCTGGGAAACATGGCCATCTCCTCTCTTCCCCCGGGTTGCGTGGCCAGTGCGTATTGCTTAGGCCATTTTGACCATTTCATCCAGACCAGCCAGAAATGTGGAGGGGAGTGCCATCTGGTCTACCTTGCATGCAGAAAGTGAAATCACCAGTAACAGGTCTTTCAAAGAAGGGAGTTCTTCAACAAGTTTCTTAGCCATGAGAAGCGAACAAAATAGGACTCACTTTCTTAATATTTCCAGTCTATGAAACCAAGATGTGCAATGAGACAAGTGAGAAGACTCTTCTGGAAGCTGGAAATAACACAATGGATATCGACTGCGCTGATGCTTTCAAAGGAACCACAAGAGGTACTGAGTCTCAGATGGATTTTCTTTATTTTTTTAAATTTTTGTGAGGAAGATCAGCTCCAAGCTAACATACATGCCAATCCTCCTCTTTTTGCTGAGGAAGACTGGCCCTGAGCTAACATCTGTGCCCATCTTCCTCCACTCTATGTGGGACGCCGCCACAGCACGGCCTGACAAGCAGTACGTCAGTGCGCGCCTGGGATCCGAACCTGGGCTGCCAGCAGTGGAGCACTTGCACTTAACCACTATGCCATGGGGCCAGCCCCTCAGATGGATTTTCTTGACCTCCAAATTCTAGGCACTGTCATCTCATTTCTAGGTGACTGTCCAAGACGGGAGGACTCACCGAGTTTTCAAAGCAGGGGGATTATATATGGTGAAGTTAAAAGATCTGCCTTGATCACAACCAGGCAATTTTGGGGATACAATTTGTGTGTACTTTGTGACACACACTGAGGTTCAAACAAGAATTTCTTGACATGCTTCCTTAAAAGGGACAGGCTGACGCGTGCCCTGTTTCCATGTGATGGTCTGAAAAGGTAACACTCGACAGTGGCAGATGAATGTTGCATCAAATACTCCTTCCCTTGGGAAGCATTTTATGATCATCCTAGTTAAAATAGTCATCCAGTCTTCCTCTCCCTCTATCCTATACAGAAACTTTTTCTGTAAAAGGATCAGATAGTAAATATTTTTGACTTTGGGGGCTAGATTATCTTTGTTATAACTACTTAACTCTGATATTGTAGTGGGAAAGCAGCCATAGGCAATATGTAAATGAAGGCGTGTGACTGTGTGCCAATAAAACTTTATTTACAAGAATGGGTGGTAGGCTGGATTTGACCCTCCGGCCAGAGCCTGCCACCCCTGCTTTATTCCATCACCTTATTTAAGTCTCTGCATAGCATCCACGTTATGTAATATTTTTCTAATTTATTTGTTTGTTTGTTGTCCATCTTTCTCATTATGTCAGCTCTCTGACGGCAGGGACTCTGCCTGTTTTGTTCACTGCTGCACCCCAATGCCTAGAACACTATCTGGCACACAGTAGATGCTCAATAAATATTTGATGAATAGATGAATGAATGCATGAAAAATTTCTCAAAAAGAAAGACCCAGTTACCTTGAGAGAGTGAAATACCTGCTGTATTTCCTCCAGAAAATTTCCGGCTACTGATTAATTTTCACTCCTTACTGTGAGCTATAGAATGGAGGTAAGAGAGGTAAAAAGATAAAAATGAGTTGATTTTTTAAACGGAGTAAGTAATAATACAGGTGGTAAGTGGTTTTGGCTAAAACTGGAATGTAGCACATGAGCACATAATGGCAATTTAGGAAACACTGCGTCATGCTACAGAGCAACATATGTGCATTTAACTTCTGTGAATTAAACTATTCTTGCATCAAAAGGGGAGGGGAAAAGGACAGGAGGGAGAAAGAGAGACAGAGACAGAGGCAGAGAGAGACAGAGAGGGAGAGGGAGGGAAGGAAGGAGAATGACTGAATGAATTAAATTGAATGGCTCCTACTAAAGTAGATAACCCAGAGCAAGCTTGAGATGGAAAATGAGAATGTGTGGTCTCCTCCTTTCACCTCAGTTCCACCTTCTGAGGACACCATCTTGCCACATAACTCTGATTTTGATGTCTCAGGGCTTATATGTATTTTTGCAACACATCGATGGGATGTGTTGCATATATATCCTTTATAATGTGTGGTACATTATAATATATATTACATACACAAAATGCTGCACCCTAAACCACATGTAATGCATTGATTGGGCAAATTAAGGGATTTCCAATGGCGATTTTGTCTATACATTATGTTTGCCTTATGACTCACACAAGACTCTTTAGTGTACCGTTCCTTAAACTATGGACACCATCTAAAATGATTTCTCCCATCCAAGTACTGTACACCTGAAATTTATACAATGTTATAAACCAATGTTACTGCAATAAACAAAAAATTAAATAAGTAAATAAATAAAATGATTTCTCTCCCATTTTCTCAGATAGGGGTGCAGTTGCGTTTATCACTTATCGATCTCTTGGGGATATTCTGAATGGATCCTTTTTTAGTGATAGAAGAGGGGCAAAGGAAGTGAAACTGAACTCTCGTATCGTGAGTGGCACCATTGGTGTGAAAGAAAAGGTTTCTCTGTCTGAACCTGTATTCCTGACCTTCCAACATACTCAGGTGAGTGAAACCCAGGGCTGGTCCTCTATGCATGACCTTAAAGGGGTGTGTTGTCAGGGTCCTGGGAGGGAACTGAATTCGACTCTGATCATTCAGAGTAAAGAGAACTGACAAGGAATGTGGCCGCAGCCAGAGACTGCCACCAAGGGAAGCTATTATCACATTGGAGCCAAAAAGGGAATGGAGGGATGAACAGTATTGAGCCTAGGAGAGCTGGAGGCATGGAAGAGGGATTGCCCTGCTGGAGGTAGAGAGAGCTTGGAGCAGAAAAGGAGTCTGGAAGAAATACCTGACCCCTTCTCCTCTCATCCAATGTTCTCTCACTAGTTCTTCTCATTGGTTCCACCAATGACAAGGATCCCAGGTGAATAGGTTCATAAGGGTCAATTCCAGGGGCTCTGAGGTGACCAGAGAAGGGCAGAATGAATGAAGAATAAACCCCACAGCAGACGTGGTGGTATGGAACTCTTCCCCACGATTGTTCCAGATGATGAGATTTTTCCCAATCCAGTTTCCAACCCAGTGCATCTGTGACTAACCTATGAAGCTGAAATGATAAAACCAGAGACACATTTTTATGCTATTCTCTTTCCAGCCTGGTGGGGCAAGAACGAAATATTTCTGTGTCTACTGGAAAGGATCGGAGGAGGGGGGCAGCTGGTCGACGGAGGGCTGCTCTCATGCGGGCAGCAACGATTCTTACACCAAATGCAAGTGCTTCCACCTTTCCAGCTTTGCTGTGCTCATGGCTCTTGCTCCCAAGGTACCAAGATTCGTGGTCCCCTCCTGTGAATCTGATTGTGTCTAGGAATCTGGGAAGTCCTCTCCGTGTCTTAGAAAAAGCCTCTAAGATAAGGAGTCAAGTGGAAGGTAATTCCAGGAAGCACCAGTAGGAGAATGGGGAAGTGAAATGGAAAAAGGACAGAAGCCAATGCAGAGAGCATTATCAAGCCAGTTACCACTGTGGGTGACTGACAGTTAATTCCCTCTGGAGGACTCTGGGAGTTAATGTAGAAGACACACCTCAGAGTCATCTTAACTGAACAGTGAGAGAGCTGAAGTGTTTGTACGCCACCTCCCTTCAGTCACTGTTGAAAACTGCATCCAGGGGACATTAATTCCCTGATGCTCCCATGGGCATGGGCAGAGTGAGCTCAAGCTAGTAGAGAAAGTTCTCAGACATTGGAAAGTTGGGTTATCAGCCCCTACGGTAGAAAGGTCCAAGGTGATCTGGGATCAAAAACATCAATTACTCTGCAAGAAAGACTTACAGCTAAACCTTCCTGGGCAGATCAGAAGGATGGCAACTGACTGTCACCAATGAAAAAGCATAATCCCCTAAACTTCCTAGGTCCCAACTATGTCTAGGATAGCTCAGGTTTAAAGAAATTTACCTAACTTCTTCCTTTATTTCTTTTTAGCTCCGATTTATTGAATATTTACTGTATGACAACCATTATATAGCATATTTAAATACATGGCCTCATTTTAGTCATTCAACAAGTTCATATATGAGTGCCTACTGTATGCCAGATGCTGTTCTAGGCACTGGGGATACAGCAGAGCACAAGACACTTAAAGAAATACCAACCCTCATAGAGATTACTTTTAAGTACTGTGTTGTCCTATAGGATCACCAACCACACGTGGCTGTTGAGTACTTGAAATGTGGCTAGTGTGACTGAAGAACCAAATTCTTAATTTCATTTAATTTATTTAAATTAAGAAGCAGTGTACAATATTTTTCCATTAAATGCAATTTTATTGTTTAGAAGGACTACATTTCACTTAACCATTGAAAATATACTACCTGAATTGAGATGTGCTGTAAGTATAAAATATACACTGAATTTCAAAGGCTTAATATGGAAAAAAGAATATCAAATATCTCATTAATAATTGTTTTACATTGATTGTAATTTGAACTGGTTATATTTTTGTTATATTGTTATACTGATTATATTATATCCAACACATTAAACTGAGAGTATTTTGAACATACATTATTAAAATTAATTTGACCTGTTTCCTTTTACGTTTTTAAAAACACGGCTATTAGAAAATTTAAAATTACACACGTGGCTTACATATTTCTATTGAACAGCACCAGTCTAGCAGTTTCGGTTTTTCAGCAACTCCTTGTGGTAAATGCTATTACTGTTCCTATTTTGAAATGGGAGCATCAAGCGACTTGTGTGAGGGACTGAACTGGGAATCCCATCTGACTCTCCATCAGGAACATAACTGAAGAGTTGGAAACTATAACAGATTCCTCTTTTGGTGGCTCATAGGTGGATCCTGTTCTGACTGTGATCACTTATGTAGGACTGAGCCTTTCTCTGCTGTGTCTCCTCCTGGCGGCCCTCACCTTCCTCTTCTGCCGATCCATCCAGAACACCAGCACCACCCTCCACCTGCAGCTCTCCATCTGCCTCTTCCTGGCCCACCTCCTCTTCCTCACAGGCATTGATAAAACTGAGCCTGAGGTAGGTGATTTAACCAAATTATCTCCTTGTCATAAGAAAATCTAACCATCTTTCTTGAGGAAAGATGAGGAGAGAAGCAATAATCAGCAGTGATGGTGTAAGGGGAAAAAGCAAGAGTTCCCATGTCAGCTCCCCTCCTGTATAACTTTGAACAGGACCCATATTTTCTGAGGGGCAATTTAGCAAAGTGATTGAGAGACAGACTGATGGTATTAGATAGGGTTACAATAGCTGCTGTAACAAATAAACTCCAAAGTGTCAATGGCTTATCACAGGAGTAGTTAATTTTTCCCTATGTATGAGCAAATAGGTTTGAAAAGTATCTATCCTCCAAGCTCAGGCTGATGGAGGCTCTTCTGTCTTCCACACACAGCTTCCAAAGTCATCCTGGGATCCTTTCCATTTTAGCCAACTAGAAGGAGAAAAGAACATGGCAGAGTCTCAGGAAGTGGTGCTTATCACTTCCTCTCACATTCTGTTGGCTAGAACTCAGTCACATGGTCACACTTAACTGCAAGGGGTGCTGGGAAATGTGGTCCCTGTTTGGGAAGTCACATCCTAGTGACAAATCTATATTCTAGAATTGAAGGTGGAGGGAGGCTTGAATTTTTGATGGACAGTGACTTTGCCACACAAATCTGCACTTGAATCTCTACTCTGCATTCTACTTGCTATATGACCTTGTTGAAGTAATTTCTCCTTTTTAAACTTCCTCTCTAAAGCATGGGCATCATCGTAGGGCTCTAGTAAGGACTTAGCAGGATAAAACATAGAAAGAGTCTGGATTAATCACTCAGAGAACAATGTTAACGTTTTTCTTCATCACGATCATGGTTATCATCATATCCAGGAAGAATTGGAACTGGATATTCTCTAAGGCTCCTTTTAACACTAAAAGACTATGATCTCACAGCCAGCAGCTTATGAGAGCCCCATTTTTTTTTTTTTTTCTGAGAGGCAGTATGGTGCTATGCTTAAGAGTAAGTATGTTTTCTGGAGACAATTTGGGTTTCAAATCCATTTTTATTTTTCACTAGCTGTGTGATCTTGGGTGAGATTTTAACCTCTCTGGGCCTCAGTTTCTTCATTTGAAAATGAGCAGAGGTTGGCAGACTATACTACTTAGGTCAAGTCTGGCCCACCATCTGTTTTTGTAAATAAATTTTTTGTGTGTGTGAGGAAGATCAGCCCTGAGCTAACATCCAATCCTCCTCTTTTTGCTGAGGAAGACTGGCCCTGGGATAACATCCGTGCCCATCTTCCTCCACTTTAAGTGGGACGCCACCACAGCATGGCTTGACAAGCAGTGTGTCGGTGCGCACCTGAGATCCGTACTCCAGGCCACTGCAGCAGAGCACGCGCACTTAACCATGACGCCACCTGGCTGGCCCCTGTAAATAAAATTTTAGTGGACCACTGATGTCCAGGGCCTGGAGAGGATGGATGTCCCAGCTCAAGCAGAGAGAGCAAATTCTCCCTTCCTCCAACTTTTTGTTCTGTTCAGGCCCTTAAGGATTGGATGATACCCACCCTCTTCGGTGATGGTGATCTCCTGTATTCAGTCTACTGATTCAAATGCTAATCTCTTCCAGAAACACTGTCACAAATACACTCAGAAATAATATTTTACCAGCCATCTTGACAGCCCTTAGCCCGGTCAAGCTGACATATAAAGGTAACCATCACATCCACCCAAAGGGCAAGATCAATGGAGTATTTGTTTGCCAACTCTCCTCCACCATGGATTTGAGGGCTGCGTCCATGGCATTCATTCCTTGGCACTTCTGGCCTGTCTTATGCATAGAGTAAGCAGATTTCAATGGCCAGTGAAAGCCCCCAGAAAATGTATTGCCCCCACGCAAAATGTCACAGGTATTGGGAATTGAAATTCCAGGCCAGCATCCAGGAAATGATAAGTGCGGAGGATACGTTCAGGTACAGACCACATCATCTCCACATTCCTAACTCTCCTCTCCCCTCCAGGTGCTGTGCTCCATCATCGCTGGAGTGTTGCACTATCTCTACTTGGCCTCCTTCACCTGGATGCTCCTTGAAGGGCTGCACCTCTTCCTCACCGTTAGGAATCTCAAGGTGGCCAACTACACCAGTGCAGGCAGATTCAAGAAGAGGTTCATGTACCCTTTCGGCTATGGGATTCCAGCTCTGATTGTGGCTGTGTCTGCAACAGTAGGACACAAAAATTATGGAACGTTTACTCAGTAAGCATGATGTTTGCATTTATGGTGGAAGTGGTGACCATGGCCAATACAGGATCTGAAATTTAAAAAAAAAAAAGGAATTTTAAGTCCAATTTCCAATTGTGAATTACACTTCAAATTTAAGTCCTTCTTTAAGCCTAAACTCTAAATCTGAATTCCAGATTTTCTCTTGGAAGTCCGTAGAGCAGTGGTTCTCAGCATCTTTAGGGTTGAATCCCTTTGAGAATTTTGGTGAAATCCAGCATCTATTTCCTGAGAAATATGTACATACACACAAAATTTTGAACAACTTCAGGAAATTCAGGGACAGATAAAGCACATCCATGACCCCACACTAAGATCCTGTGGGCTTTATGTTCTGTAGGGTTCTGAAAGAGTTGGTTGAATAGGTTGAGTCTAATCTCCAAAATGTAAAGAATAACAACGATAGCAACAAATCTCAAAGATCTGTGAGGCATCAGAGATAGTACTTCCTATATGCAGTATCTGAACTCATTTTCCCCATAACCCTGTGATGTTGGCACTGTTTATTACCTCATGCGCAGGACATCTGGGGCTTAGAGCATTTAATAAACTTTCTCAAGGTCACAGCTAAAAGGAGAGTAAGTCAGAATTCCCAAGGCAGTTCTCTTAATAGCTGTATTTTGCTGCCTCACTAAAAAAGTTTGCAAAGCTCTGCATCTGCAAAGTTCATTTAAAAAGTTACCATTTTAACACTGGCCTGGGGTTATGAAATAGGTGTGCATATGCTAAAATAACATGTATGAGGCTGTCCCTCTTGAAGTCAAAGAGATGCTCTGTCTCCAGCTTGAACTCTATGTCCTGCCAGAATGATTCTGCCAGGTAGATCAAGGGTTGGGAAACATTTTCTATCAAGGGCCAGATGGTAACTATTTTTGGCTTTGCAGGCTGTATGGTCTTTGTGGCAACCACTCATTGTTGCCCTTGTAGTGTGAAAACAGTCATAGACAATATGGCTGTGTTTCGATAAAACTTTATTTACAAAAACAAGCGGTGGATTGGATTTGGCCCATGGGTCATAGTTTTCAATCCTTGGAATAGAGCTAAGTGTGGGAGCTTTTGTACCCACTGAGCGTTGGCAATTTCTTGTTACCTTTACCAGTTTTGTATTGCCAGGTCCCCTTTCAGAATAAGTTATACTTCCTTTGGCAACATAAGTCAAGATAGAATACAAAGTATTTTGGCAACAAAGTACTTGGCATATGGAATATGCTTAATTAGTGTTGGTAGTTTTGATAGCTGTAGTTAAATTATTGTTTTTAGTCTCTTTCTTACTATAGCAATCATTATTATGAGGATACCTACATTCATTGAACCTAACTCTTTGACGGGAACTGTATCCAAAAACTGTATGCACTTTATCTCATTTAATCTTTCCTACAAGATCTATACAAGGAAAATTTTGGTGAAAGAAATCAAATAAGATTCAAAAAAATGGGGAGAGAGTCCTTGTTCACGGATAGGAAGACTCGTTATTGTCAAAAAGTCAACATTCTTCCCAACCTGATCTGTGGATTCAATGCATTCTCAATAAAAATCCCAGAAAATTATTTTGTGGGTATTGACAAACTGATTCTAACGTTTATATGGAGGGGCAAATGACCCAGAATAGATAACACACTATTGAAGGAGATGAACAGTCAGAGGACTGACACTGCGTGACTTCAAGACTTGGTCTCTAGCTACAGTAATCATTTAATCTTTTCAATACTTTTGTTAGCCCCACTCTACACTTGGGGAAACAGAGACTCAGAGCTTGTGTCACATGAGTACTCACGTCCCATTCTATCTAAAATCCAGGTCTGAACTAATCACTTTGTGACACTGCTCAGATCCTGCTATAGGAACCTGAATTCAAGTCCTTTGTCTTCTGTTGAGGAATAAACCGCTAATCCTTATCTTTCTCTCAACAGCTGCTGGCTCAAGCTTGATAAAGGGTTCATCTGGAGCTTCATGGGGCCAGTGGCAGTCATTATCTTGGTAGGTGACCAGTGACAGTATGTGTTGGTGAACTCTGGGTTGGCCAAGCGGAGAGAGTATGTTTCTTATCTGCTGAAGTGGAAATAAGATGAAGATAAGGAAATATAGTGTAATGTGATCAACTCCTCTTACTGGAAATACTGTTTTCACATGTCTTTCCTTGACTTCTCCCTAGCTCACCGGTTGTTTTGATATAATATTACCCTTTGCTGGGCATTCTTTCAAAAATTCTACATTCATTCATTCAACCAATATTTAGCAAGTATCTACTTTGCATAGAGTGACATGTTTCCTGTTTGCTAGGAAATTCGTATTTATGTCTGTTGTCCTGGTACAGATATGAGTAGCACTCTTCCACTTTCAAAGTGTCCTGGTTTGAATGATAAATTAAAGATTTTATTTATTTTATTTTTCCCCCCAAAGCCCCAGTGGATAGTTGTATGTCGCAGCTGCACATCCTTCTAGTTGCTGTATGTGGGACTCGGCCCCAGGATGAACGGAGAAGCGGTGCCTCGGTGCGCGCCCGGGATCCGAACCCGGGCCGCCAGCATCGGAGCGCGCGCACTTAACCACCAAGCCACGGGGCCGGCCCTGAATGATAAATTATATAGTCATGCTAATCAAGCACCAAGTGCCACTGGTTATATACAGTGTGCTGTATAAAATACAAGAGCATATGTCCATATCATCCTTATGAAACCTGTATCTTTTGGGAAAAGATTCCTGAGTCCACCTCAAGTTCAGTTGCATGACATGACCCCAAAAGAAAACTCCAAGTCAATTTTCTATGCTGTTTCCACAGATAAACTTGATGCTCTACTTCCAAATTCTGTGGATTTTGAGAAGCAAACTTTCCTCCCTCAATAAAGAAGTTTCCACCATTCAAGATACCAGGTAAGAAGGTACCAGAATCAATGGTATCTACAGATTTTTCCTACAGGACCACTCTGCCTAGGAAAGAAAAAAAATGATATAAAATTTCCTGGTGCTAGATGAAGAGTACATGAGAGAAAACTTACAGAAGAAGTAAAAACTATAATTTTCAGGTAACTTAATGTACTCTCCCATCTCTTTATTCAACATATATTCATCGGGTCCCTCCTCTGTGTAGCATACTCTTCAAATAAAATTAATGCCAAGAGTAGTATCCTTTTCCCCCCTGAGAGTACACCTACTTTTGGTTTCCATTCTCCTTGGTTGTGTAAACTCAATTCTCACTGGTGCTGATCTAAATTATTAAAAATACAGATGATAACAACTAATATTAACTACGAACTTGATAGATGCTGGGCATTTACCAATATTATTTCATTGAATTCCCATAACTCCAACCTATGTGGTGGGCACTACTAATATCCCCATTGATAAGAGGAACAAATTGATAATCTTATCCAAGTGTGGGTAAGAACCTTGCATTGATGAGTCATGTGGACAAAACTTAAAAGAATATCTGTCCAACTTCAGACCCTGGCTTTTGATCTCATCTACTTATCAGACCAACCTGGCATCTCTTAGCCTTAGTTTCTTCATCTACTCTCTTCTTCATCATTTTCTTCCTCTCTTCTCAGTTTCTTCTAGATGGTCAGAGTATCACACATCTTGGTGTTTCCCCATTCTTCTACACGTGTGTGGATGAGTGCAGGCTCATGCATGTGCATGCATGCAAACACACACACACGCACTGACGTGCATCAACTCTCCCAGCCAGTTGCCATCAACAACCCCACTCCATTTTACCATAATTTTTGTTCAAAGAAATCCAACACTGTGATATGTTCTGAAGTCATGATATCATCATCATCTAAATTTTTCAATACAAATTTCTAGAAGGCACTTTCCACAAATCTTCCAATAGGTCCAGGTAAAAGACTTTGCAGATAAATCACTTACAAAGAGTGGAGAAAGCGTTATTCTCAGAGGCAGTGACTGAAAACATGGATTCTGCCTCATCCTCAAGCCATATGACTTTTGTAAGTTACTTAGCTACACAAGGTTGTTGTGAGGTTTCACTAAGGTAATGCATGCAAAGTATTTAGCACAGTGCCCAACAAATAGGGAGTATCTGATAAATGGTAGTTATTATTACCCTTTTTCCTTTTCAGAGTCATGACATTTAAAGCAATCGCTCAGCTATTTATCCTGGGCTGTCCTTGGGGCCTTGGTTTTTTTATGACTGAAGAAGTCGGGGAGACAATCAGATCAGTGGTTGCCTACGCATTCAGCATCATCAATGTCCTGCAGGGTTTCTTTCTCTTTGTGGTACACTGTCTCCTTAATCGCCAGGTAAGGCTAAGAATTTTGTCTCTCACCAGCCTAGTCCCGAAGTCTTGTTGAATGGTTGTTTACATTCTCACTCCTCTCTGAACTTTTGTGTTTGTATTTTGGGGTTGTCTTGATTATGGGAAGAGCGTTTAGGTGCTGCTTGGGTATGCCGTGTGCGCTGGGTTTCATAGCATTCTAACCTTTAGCTTTCTGACATATCTCTCAAGAGCATGCATTCATCAACTTGGGATGCCATAACAAAATATCATAGACAGTGTGGCTTAGACAACAGAAATTTATCTTCTTACAATTCTGGAAGCTGGAAGGCTGAGAGTAGAGAGTGAGTACAGTCAGGTTCTGATGAGAGCTCTCTTCTTGGCTTGCAGATGGCCACCTTCTCACTGTGTCCTTACATGGGAGAGAGAATGAGAGAGAGCTTTCATGTCTCTTCTTATAAGGAATTGATAACTAATCCTCTCGGATCAGGGCTCAACCCTTATGACCTCATTTAACCCTAATTACTTCCATAAAGGTCATATCTCCAAATATAGTCACATTGGGGGGTTAGGGCTTTACCATATGAATTTTGGGGGGACACAATTCAGTTCATAGCAGAGCATGTATGAGTCAGGATAAGGCAGATTATGCTGCAGTAACAAATAGCCCCTCCCTCTCTAATTTCAGTGGCTGACAACAATAAAGGTTTACTTCTCACTCAAGCGACACAGCTGTGGCTTGAACTACATTGTCTTCACTCTGGGTTGTAGGCTGAGGGGGCAGCCCTCCTTTAGAACGTTGGTATTCTTATGGCAAAGGGAAAAGAGATCATGGCAAAGCACAGCTTAGCTCTCTTTTATTGGCCAAAATAAGTCACATGGCCATACTTGAATTCACCAGAGAGAGGATGAATAATCCTCCAGTAGTGAGGTGAACTATAGGAAGGGGCACTGGAATATTTGGCATAATCTACCACAAACTCAGAGAGACTTCTGCTCTAATTCCAATTTTTCCACTGAGTGAGTTGCTGTGTGACCCTGGGCAGGTTGCTTACCCTCTCTGAGCCTTGGTTTTCTCACCCAAAAATGTGGCAATACTACGTCCCAGAGTTGAGAATTAAATGAGATAATGCTATGTAAATCTCCTAGCACAGTTCTTGGCACATATTATGTTCTCAGTGAGGGTCATTATCATAATTTTACTCTTTACAGAAGATTGGGAACAGTTTTCCTGAATTTTTTCCTTTGCTGTTAAGTGGAACCACCAGCAATTAAGATTGACAAAGAGACCATCTTAACACTTCATTAATTTCTCTTTCATCTTTTATTTCCTTATTAATGCTGGGAACTCTTCACACAAAGAAGAAGTAAAATACAATTTAAGTGTCTTGATGAAATCATGTTGAGTATTAAATACTTAAATATCTTTTAAGAACGTGTTGAGGAGGTTAAAAGAAGGCAACTGATGGAATCACAGGGGTGGTTTAGTGTAGGGGTTAGTGTCACGGCTCTGGAGTAAGAATGACATGATTTTTGAACACTGGCCTTGTGACCTTAGACAAGTCAGTTTACCTCCAAGAGCCTCAACTTCTTCATCTTTAATTGGGGATAAGAGAAGTACCTTCCTCATTGGGCTCATGTAAGAACTAAATGATACATTGTTGATAAAGTGTCTTGAACATGGCTATGTTCAATAATTGGTGACCTTCATCATCATAATCACCAACACCACCATCACTTTCATTATCATCCTTATCATGACCACAATCACTTTTGTAATTACTACCATCATCATCATCATCATAATCATCATCATCACCATCACCACCTTCTTTATCTTCATCATCACCTTGATTATCATTATCATCATGACCATCATAACCTTCATTGTCATCACCATCATCACCTTCATTATCATCACCGTCATCACCACCATCTTCATCACCCTCACCCACACCATCACCATCATTGTCATCACCATCATCACCTTCATCATCATCATCATCATCACCACCACCATATATAGAGTCCATATGGTGTCTGACATTTAGTAAGCAGCTTTTCTACAATTGAGGAAGTTGACTTTAAATAAAATGAATCAACATAAGCATGGCCAAGAGATTATACAGAAAACCAATGAAAGAGCAGTAGAGAGTAGGGCTTAGATGTATATCTTTAGTCTCCTACTTTAGGGTCCTGTCTCCTGAACCAAGCTCTGGATGTAACACAAGCCTCTATATTCCTCAAACTTTCAGGTGCGAATGGAATACAGGAAATGGTTTACTGGGATGAGGAAAGGGGTTGAAATTGAAAGCACTGAAGTGTCTCCCTCAACTACCCACACCAAAATGGTAAGATCAGCTCTTCTGCGGTGGTATGTCCTTGTCTGAAGCCAACATCTCATGCTACCAGGAGCTTCCTGGTTTCTTGATCTGAAAGAAAAGAGAATTTGCATTACATTCCTGCATTAAACAGCTGAAATTTCTGGTTTTTGAGACCAAAACCAGAAGAGATCTTCTTTCTTTCTTTGTCTCTCCCTCCCTTCCTCCTTCCTCCCGCCCATCCTCTCTTCCTCCTTCCTTCCCTCCCTCCCTTCCTTTCCTTCCTTCCTTTTTCTCTCTTTGTTTCTTTATCTCTCTCTCTCTCTCTCCCTCCCTCTCTCTTCCCATCTTCCCCTCTCTGTCTTTCTTTCTTGTCTCTCTTTCTTTCTTCTTGCTCTCTTTCTCACTCTCTTTCTCTCTTTCTTCAGTCCATCCACAAATATCCAATGATAATTAGCAAAAATTTTTAAATTTATTTAGCAGCATTCATTTAACAAATATTTATTGAGTGTGTGCCAGGCACTGATTTAGGTGCTGGGGAAAGAGCAGTGGACACATGGACAAAAATCCTTGTCCTCACAGAGCTGACATTCTTGTAGGGGGGAGGCAAACGATAAATCACAAAAAGCGGTTTTTACAGTATGTTACAAAGTGATATAAGCTATAGAAAAAAGAGCAATGAAGAGAAATCAAGAATGCATGGAGTGGGAGGAACTCAGTTTTAAATAAGTGGCAATGAGGGGCCTCGATGAGAAGCTGACTCTTGAGTAAAAACTTGATGGATGTATCTGATGAAAACGACCCCTGGTTTGTGAAATTATCTGGATTGAGAGGACTATGAATACACTCTGAGCACTTTGGTGGT